TACTCTATAAACTATGCGAACAAAACTTAAAAACAAATGCTACATTCACAAAAAAATCTAAACAAAGTTATAAATTATTTAGCTTTTTTTAACGGGTTTATTTTGCTTCTGGATCTGTCACGATCAATGTCACCTCTATCAAAGTTTACGTCATTCTATTGTTACTTTAGTCTCTGGTAAGAATAAAAAAACAGCATCCAAAGCTATTGTGAGAGTTAAGAATCGTTAGAATTTCTATTGTCAGCTAAAATTTACAATAGCCACTCACTCTGCTTCAAAGAAAATATTTTTCTATAGTTAAGAAAATAAAATATGATCACTCCCTTTGGAGTCAGAGTGTAGTAGCNGTTTGTATTAAAAAAAAAAAATATCGATAAAATATTTACGCTGGGATCTAAAATTGTATCGCTTTCTAAAAATAGTAATGACTTTATTTATATTCTCATGTAATATTCATTGTTTCGACAAAATTAGAAATATTATCAGTTGGAAAAGAGATAAGGAATGAATCTTCCTTCGAAGGATACTTTCACTTTTATAGTGTGAATGTATTGTTGTTGTTAGTATTAAAATTGTTATCGTGGTGAGAAGGCCGGCGCCCACTTTCCTAACTTTGCATCATTTATCATTCATCACGTTAATATCCCTCTTCTGAAAACGATCTACAAACACTGTGTATATCGATGCAATTCTCGAAATTCAACATCCATTTTTTAAAAGGAAACCATTCTGATTCGGAATACGAAGTAAAATAAATGAACTTCCTTTATTATACTTTTTATTTTTTATCTTTTTACAGTTATCTCTCTGTTCGATCTTCACTTCCGTGTCAATGATCTCGGCATTAGAAGACGTTGAAATCGTAATGAAGAACTTTAGAAATTGTTTAAAAGTTGGTTCCGATATTGAATTTTCGATTATTAATGAACAATAAACTTATTTCTATAATAAATATGAAATCTCTGTCGTGTTCGACACTTAAAAATCATTGAACACAGTTAAAAGTTGTGTCGAACACACTTCAATTGTTTGAACACAGTCGTGCGCAAAGATGAGGAATAAAGATGTTCCTTACTAGAGTCGAAACATTGATTTAGAAAGTTTATTGTATTTTATTATTATCGATTAAAATTTCGAGAGGAACAGTAGCAATTTCGAATATTCATCGATTTTCATGAAGTTCATCAAAGTGAAATTTACGGGAGCATTTTAATTGTAAGCGATTGCTTCCTTATCGATCCGGAAACTCGAAGAACATCAAGCTTAGTTCAATGACAGTTTATCATTTTCAACCGGCATTTTGATATTATAAACAAACTGCTGATATAGATAAAATATTGATATTGAAATCCAGCCAATTTTCGGTTCTCGAAGAGGATTTTTAAAATTTAAATCAACTATAACCATATAAAAGAAATAGGCTACATCATTCGATATTCCAGTAGGATTTTGTATTCGGATAACGAAACATCTATTCTTAACGAAATTATTATATAAAATACTTATTCGATTTATTCGCAATTTTACGCTGGCTGATTCTCTTCATCCAGATGTAGAAAGTCCTTGGATCTAAGAAAGATCTCTAGCTGTTTGAAGTAACGTAAACTTGCTAAATCTAGACACGTCTTACTATTTTCTCGACTAGGAATAGAACCTATTTCTAACTGAGGACAGACATCCCTATTCCGAGACTACAATCGACTTAGTAAAAAGAAACCACATTGGTTCACAAAGCAAAAAGAATTCTCTTTGCCGAGCTATTTATAGAGCTACTCACCACTAAAATTTGTAAAGATATTTTTTCCTTCTTCCTATTCAAAGAACCTCTTTTTTTTCTATTTTATTTTTAAAGAATTAACTTTACAACAAGTTAATATAAAGCGAAACTAAGAAATTCTTAAAAATTTCGTGTCCCGAATCCCTTCAAAGCGGTCAAAGACCTCTTACTACTTAAAAATTTCTATAAGAACGAAGAGTTGACGAGCAACCGGCAAACACTTGTATTAAACTTATTAATGTCTACAGACTGTTAATCGGTTTTCTGAACTCTACAACCCATTTAATTCGACTAAATACCAAAAAAAAATTATTGTTATTTATGATTTCCTAGAAAAATATAATTACATCATGCGATGTTACGCATTTAAGTAATGAAGATTCTACTTCACTCTCTATAATCGTCCTTCCGAGAATCATTTCTTCGATAATTTAAGCATTTTGTAGGTAATTGAAGAGAAAGATTCTTTTCTAATTACGCCCTTAAATTCTTATTTTGACTATCGATTATTTTAAAACTTTGCAGAGCCATTTTCTTCTTCGTAATTTGGCTCCGTACGACTTCTTACGCGACAATCGAATGGAGTTAATAGGTTGTAACCGGCGTATATTCTGTTGTAACTATGTTAAATAGGCCTACTTATTACGTAGCCAATAGTTGTAAAATTACAAAATGGGTCGTGTCGTCACCTGTAAACCCGATAGAATTAATTTCCCGTTTATTTGGATCAATAGTTCATATGTTCGAGCCAAAATATAGTTGTCGAAAATCATGCCAAAATCCAACTCGCTGGCTATTATCGAAAGGTTAATGAATAAATAAAAAAAAAGGAATATACTATTTATATATGTATATAATCTTTATATAGCCATTTGTTCACAGAACAAAAGACTTTTGTGACGTTTTTCTACAGCTTTACTCTATAAACTATGCGAACAAAACTTAAAAACAAATGCTACATTCACAAAAAAATCTAAACAAAGTTATAAATTATTTAGCTTTTTTTAACGGGTTTATTTTGCTTCTGGATCTGTCACGATCAATGTCACCTCTATCAAAGTTTACGTCATTCTATTGTTACTTTAGTCTCTGGTAAGAATAAAAAAACAGCATCCAAAGCTATTGTGAGAGTTAAGAATCGTTAGAATTTCTATTGTCAGCTAAAATTTACAATAGCCACTCACTCTGCTTCAAAGAAAATATTTTTCTATAGATTTATTCTATATTTTTTTCAAATATATATCATAAATATATTATTTAAATAGAGATCAAACCGGAAACAAAAATACATCAAAACTAAAAACTTCCTGAATGAAATCCGAGCGATGTGAATGGGTCTAAAGGAAGGGAAAATAAGGTTAAGAACCCGAAAGATAACTAACTGGAGCGTAACTGTGGGAGATTATACCATTTGGAAGGGATAGAAATATCAGTATCACGAGCGTGACGTCACAGCTCATTAATGTAAAAGCGGAAAGAACTTCGACGTCATTGACAGTGATGGGACAAGTTTTACTTTTCTGCTACCAATTTTACCCTCGTTAAGACGCGACCTTGCGAGCAGTGACTAAGAAAACAGCTGGAGGGGAGGAAAGAAAAGAGGGTGAACAACCGGCGTTTACTGTTTAAGAACGGGATCGGATGTCCAGACCAGTCGTTAGATTGAAGCCGTAAAGGGGGGGGTTACAAACGACGACCAATCAGCAGCCAGTCTTTTCGATACACCGATTATAAAAACACCTGTAGAACTCAAACAGGAAGGGGGAATGCGTTTAGATGAGTCACGTTAGAATATACTTAGCGATATTATTTATAAAACACGACGGAGTGATAAGTAAGCAAAAAAAAGACTTAAAAAAAACACTAGACGGGTCGTTATATAATGCGCAACACGCGATATACCAGCCAAAATGGAACATAAACAAACCAGATAATTTTTAGAAAAGTGGGAAATGTATGAATTAAGTGAATAAATGGCGACAGTATAATCCTTCAAATGATCTTTTCCTGTGATTGATTGATGCTGTAATTCTTGCACATCACATTTATTTTGTTTTTTCAGTACGAGATATTTTGAATGTCATCTGTGCCACTCAACTATGCCAGTGGATCAAAAGGGGAGGAGGAAAGATAATGTTTTGAAACAATGTTCAGTATTCGGAACGGAATTCTTTTTAACAACTGAATAGCCTCATTTTCTTTTTTAGAAAACAAAATTATGGTGTTACTAATGTTACAGTACTTAAATATGTTACTTGTTAAAATGTTCTAAACCCGGAAGATGTTCTAAACCCGATTGTTTCTATTTCGTTGTTTAGAGGTCGTTCGCAATCTGGAAGTCGTTTATAGACCCCATACCGCGTTATACATAAACCATGATGAGAATAGCTGTTAAACAAAATTTACATCCAGTAAAAGTTAAACAAAAATAGTTGAAAATTTGTAGATTTAGTAGGTGACATATTGATGAGACATGCTGTTTTAAATTGATTTTACTTTTCCGGCTGTTATATATGAGGGAAAGTACGGCGATTGGTCAAAAAATTAACCCCAAGATTTTTATATTTTTTGGGCTTGGGGACCTTGAAACGTCGAGAAATGCAAAAAATTTCGGGGTAATTTCTGTATGTATAAATAAATGTTGGTGTGGGGGCAAATTTTGTTCACCCTGTTTTAAGCTTAATAACTCCTGTACTTTTTGTGGAAATTTTCTGAAATTTTGCAGGGAGGTTTGTGTATTAGGGGTTTAATGCTATTAAATTTTGGTGGTTAAAAGTCGAGGAGTGGAGAGATAAACGGAGATCGCGTATATCTCCAGTAGAGTCAGACTAAATGACGATTTTAAACGTTTGTAGCATTTACAATTTTTTATAAAACCTGTCCTATTCTCAAAATTAAATTTTTTACCATTTTATAATACTTAAAAATAAAAGTTTTTTAAACAAAATATCATAACAGATGGCGCCACCAAATATTGCCGGGAACGTTAAGTAACTCGTTGCAGGATTTTTTAGTTAAATATTTCGAGATTTTTCTGTTGGGTGTTGTTAAATGATGATTATATTGTAAGAGAAAATGAGTCGTCTTTGTGCCAAGCAATGTTTATAAGTGATTTTTAACTATTAAAATAAAATTTAAACACACTTTGTTAAGTAATTTATTTTTAAAAATTCTATTGGAATTTATATAATTTACATAAGCTCTTATATATCAGTTGTAATGTAAAAAACTTTTTTTTTTTATTACAGTTAACTGTATAAAGTGCTAAAACAAGTTTTATTTCATCCAATAAAAAAATTGTGGTATATTTATTGTCCTTACAACACTAGAAATAAAACCGAACTAATAGTTTCTGATACTAAGAAATTTAAACATCTTGTCAGTTGTCCTACAATTTTATATGGGATAAACCACAAGCTATTGCCATAGAGAGAGAACATAATAATTATGTAAATATTTAACATAAGATAAAATTAAATAATGTTTTTCTGAATGAGTTAAGTGGTTTTTCCACAAGATCATATTAAATATTTGAACATTGCAACAAAATCACAACACATCATATTTATTTCTTGATATATGTATCTTGACATTTGATACACAAAGAATTTAGTGTCATTATCCGAAAGAATAAACTAAAAGGTGTGAATCCGATGACCTAAAAAGCCCAAACCACTTTGTTCTTTTTGTTTCTACCAGGTATGTCACTTATGGTTCAACCCTTACAAAACTATCTGCTGCCCGTAATGAGCTGGAATGAAAAGATTTTATACATCAAGGATTTTTGTTTGTGTTTGTACAAATTTAATGGCATTGATGATTGTTAAAATCATGTAAAACTACAAAAACGTAACACTGTTATCGTTTAAAATTGCAAGTCGTCGATTCAAATCAATCAAATATATACATCTGTGTCAAAATTGATTACGGTAATTTTTGTTCATTATATGTTTATTGGTTTGACATTGAAATGTAACTTTAGTTATACTATTAATATCTATTAGAAATTACCTTATAAACATAAACTGGCTTTGATCAAATCTGATGGTCAGACTAGGTTTATATATATATATTGGTCCAGAGTGGAATGGATGTACAATTTGTATGTTTTAAACATAAAAATTAATTAAATTACAGATCTGATTTTTTATCGCATGAAGAACAGATGCGAACGGGGTGATCCCATCCTCTAGAAGGTACCGGTCGTCGGGCGGCAGAGCACTGGTCACAGACTCCCTTTCCGCAGGCGCGACAGTGGTGAATAGGCAGTTTGGAGTTGAATTCCGTCTGACAGACTGCACACTGTGTTATTTCGTGATCGGGTATCCAATATGCCGGTCGAGCCGAATCCTTTATGAACCCTAATTATGATAGAAATGTTTGTCAATCAACAAATGCCAAATATATTTATCATTTTTATATAAAATTATTTTCAATAAGAATATTAAATAATTCTTTTTGATGGCTGTGAACATGAATTTTAAAAATTATAGTAATTATAATTCTACATTAATTCATAATCTTACAACTACCTCTAATTGATCAATCTACAATAAAAAGAACAAATTACAAAAAGTTAGATGATACTAACTTACCAAACTAATGATTATTTTTGTTTTATAAAAATGTATATGTTTCTAGAATATATATCAACAATAGAAATCTTATTTAATGGAATATGTTAAGAGAGTTCTAGTTATAAAAATATTTTATTAAAATGAAAGCTAATTTAAGTAAGTGCACTTATATTCTGTAAACATAATTTTCAATATTTCTATGTATTTTTAAGCTTAAAGGGGATGATGATAATTAATTAAAATTAAATAAGACTCCTATTAACCAAGATTCTATCTACATTATTCAAGGTGAATAATGGAATAACATTCTGTCAAAGACAAGAGCTCGTAATATAGTATAGTAGAGTTTGTTTCTTAAATCTTGGCTAGGTGATGTGTGCTACTTGAATGGAGTTCTAAAAGTTTTACTCTTGTAACAATACAAATTTAAAAAAAAAATTAAAGAAATTTTGATTATGATCATAGGTTTACCTTTGCTTTGATAAAACAACTCTTTAAATCTTCTATACCATTTATTTATTTTATAAATTAAAAGCCATTATGTTCAATAAGTAGATCTAATCTGAAAATGGAATATATTGTTCATAATAATGCATCCATATCCAGTTTATTTAAACAATACAGAATGTTTGGTAAATTACTGCATTTTCAATTTTGAGATTCCTTGGTTCGTTTTTTTTTATTTTTTTGACTCTTTTTGCTCTGTGGGCACTAAGATTGTTTTTTATGAAGTCAGGTGAGGGATGGGGTCTGACATATCCAGGACAGATCACGCATAAAAAATTCTATTGCTCACTCAAATTCGATCCTGGTTCCTAGAGCAGCAGGCCAATTTCTTAACTATCTTGGCCATTGATACCTTGGTTAATCAGGATGCCACAGTATTTTAGATTAATAAAAAGAACATAGTTTGAAATTTTAAACAAAAGGAGACCACAGAGTTGGTCCCCTCTGATTTCATCAAGTTTATATATATATATACTACTGCAATACTACTCTTCCAATATATATATATATATATATATTGGAAGAGTAGTATTGCAATACAGTCGACCCCCCTATAAGATATAGATACGTTCCAATTTATTAGGAATCCGATTTCTTACAAGTCGTTCCAATCACAGCCCGACACGTGTCAAGTTTACGGACTACGGCTGATTGAAAGGTTTTCTTCCATAAAATTAATCGATTCTACACTAATCCGACTCAACATTTCCAAAATACGTATATTTTTTCG